ATAAAAGTGGCCAAATGCTACGAATAATGTTGTAAACAAAAAGTAGAGTTTGCCATGCAAGGATTTCTAGCCTGTGGTAACTCCTGGGGTCTTCACCTAGGTGCTTACTCTGCAACCTCGCCTATCAGCCGGGCACCTGGTGGGGTACACATTCATTGCAAGGTAGACTGTCACCATTAAGGCCAAGGCCAAGTCATGCCAGGACTTCATACGTAGCACACCATGGGAAATCAAGTGTCATACCAGGATTAGCCTCATGGGAGCTGCACTAGCTCCAGGAAACTGTCACTTTGAATTATTCCTCCTACTAGGAGGAGGAAAGAGCCTTGCTCCTCGCGTGTGTGTTGTTTTTGTATGTCTCGGGTACTATCCTCCCTCCTGCCTTCCTTCCAAGCGCTCTGCTTCGGTACAAGGACAAAGAGACAAGACTGGAGAATGGAGTCATTGTTACTACAGTTCCTTCCCGATCAATCTGCTTGAGAAGAGAGAGATCACTTTCAGAGCTCCAGGTAAAGGCCAATAGCAATAAACCCAAAGGACAAGAGGAGTTAACAAATGTTTTTCTGTCTGCCCAAGAGGTTGTTTTTTGATACAGCCATTGTCCAACCCTGTTCTAGCACCATCAGTCAATGAACAGCCCTGGTTTATAATTGTTCCCATCTGACCACTCTTCTCACTGTCCCAAACTTCTCCACCTGCAGCCTTGACCGTCAATTTCGGTTCTCAGGCAGGTGGTTCACATTGGATGCCTACACTGGCTAGGAGGCACGCACGCCATGGGATGCACTTGTGAATGAAACGCACTCCCCGCACCTCAGGGGGCTCACAGCCTTGTGTATCTTCTGGTGTGGTCACTCTTCCCTTTCCCCCTCCAATTGTCTGTAATCTTATAACAGACCCAAGAAAGAAATCCTCACTGACCACCCCAGCACAGACTTCCCCTCCCTCTGATCTCCCATAGGCCTTTCTCCAGGGTGGCCCTGAGATTAATCAGCCAAACCTGAACACTTCTGAGTGTGTGTGTTGGGGGGGAGGGCGGGGGTGTGTGCTGATTATAATTACGCTGCAACGATAGGCACATATATGGGCAAGCCAGGCCATGGGGTCACCCAGAACACACTGCCCCACACAACTGGTACCTCCTACTCCTCTGTCAGTCTGTGCTCCCTAGAAGGCATAGTCGGTATCTTACACATTTATCCTGAGTACGAAATCTAACTTTGGCCACGTCCCAGAATTAGCAAACACATGCTTAACTTGAATAAAAAAGTGATAGTCTTCTAAATTACATAATCCCTGCAGACTTGACTTAACATCCATCTCAGAATGTAAAATGATTGCTAATCTGTTTATTATGTTTTAGAATACCAAACAGTGTGAAAAATACTCCCTTTGTTTAAGACCCCTTTCTCCTTGGTTTGGCACAGAGCCCCTTTTGCTCTTATGGAACACAGCATAGAAATATTGCACCTCATTTGCTCTCACTGGTGAAAAAAATCTAATTAGTGTAGCTAACATGCAAAAACATTCATCTCCACACAGCCCTCGCCAGTGGCAGGTAAACAATGCACAATAAACTAGATGTGGGGCAGCTCTTTTTCTTGTGGGCATTCTGTGTTTCTATGGGGAAAGGGGTAACCCAGCCTGAGGGTCATGAGCCATGGGCAAAGCGACCTTTTCTAGACAGTTCTATCTATATTCTGCTATGCTCAGAAACATCTTAGAGTTGGGGAACATTTCTGAGCCGCATGGTATGAGCTTGCTGTGACTACACCAAACCAGACCCAAACCTGGGCCACTGAGACCCAGGCATCAGCTGGCCTCAGACAGACGGGATCAAGAGGAAGGAGTAATTCGCTCAAGGCGCATGACGACCTGAGTGATTCTGTTGAAGGCTCCCTGGTGCCTAACAAAACGCAACAACATTTTCGGGAGAAAAATGTTGTTTTGAGAGACTGCCTCTGAGAACAGGAGAGAAATGTCCGAAGGTAGGCTCCTGGCAGATGAAAAGGGTGCACCCAGAGTGGGCTTCCTTTTCTGGACAGATCTTTCTCCTAATTGTGCTGTGGGCTGTGCACGTGACAACCGCTTCCTGAGACCTTCCACACCTAGGTGTGCCTTTGGGGAACCAATTATGGTGACTGAGGCTGGGCTGGCTGCACCCTCTCTCCCCACCCCCACCCATGCCTCATTGTCTGTTTTCAGCTGGTATCCTTTTCTGGTTGGATGGCCACAAACACAAGCTGTCTATCTCCCCCCACTCGTGGAGCTCAGCTTGGCAGATGAAAATACCCCTGATAAAGGAGCTGAGCCCAGGCACGAGGCCCTGTGCATGGCCACCAGTGCACGGGGAGCCCTGGCCCATTGAACTCCCACAGAGGAGATAAAATGGACTTTCACTTCCACCACCACTTCCTCCCAAGAACAGCAAGAATCTGCTTTTAGACCTCTCACTTCTTTTCAGAGCTAAAAACAAGGCAGCTTTTAATTTTTTTCCAGCTCATTGAATGCAATGAATAAAATAAAGCACTGGTTTGCAAACTCTTCAACCCAAGGGACTGCTGTTGGCAGAAGGCAATCATTTAATATGAATCCGAAAAGTCCACAGCTGCCTTTGTCTGCATTTTAGTCTCCTGACAGCAGTGAACCAATAATCTGTGAATTTACCCAAAATGTAATTGAGAAGCGGCTTGGTTATATTTAGAAGCAGGTGTGTGGTTGGCATCAGGGCTACACTATGGAGCTTTCTTATAGTAGGGCTGTTTCCATTTTAGTGACCTCAGTTTTTGTTTGTTTATTTGAAAGGCGTGGGGCGCGGGGTGGGGAGGCAGTGGCCGCGGAGAGAAATCTTCCATCCGCTAATTAACTCCTCAAATATCTGCTACTGCTGGGGCTGGGCCCGCCCTAAGCCAGGAGCCTAGAACTCAGTCTGAGTCTCCCTTGCAGATGGCAGGGACCCAAGCACTTGAGTCATCACCTGCTGCCTCTCAGGTGTGCGTTAGCAGGAAGCTGGAATCAGAAGATGGGCCCAGGCACTCCGATGTGGGACACGGCATCCCAAGTGACATCTCCTTGCTGTGCCAAACATCCTGGCCTCAGATTTAGCGTAGCACAGCTGGCAACCCTCTGTAGGGGTTCATGTCAATGCAGTTCAATACTAAAGAGTGGCATTTTTATAGAAGTGTAGCTCCCAAGATGGATAGACATAAACACGTTCTCCCAAGCCTGTTTGACTTTTCCAGGTCACTCTGGAAATGGAATGGAAAGAACTTTACTTTCCTGTTAACCAAAGGAAGAGCAGCCATTTCTGGAATGTGTGTTTGGGTAATCAGAATTCTACACAAGTCCCTAGTGCATGTTTTCAGTTCGTTCTCTGTTGCGCGTGTGCTTGGTATTTCTTTATATATTTTTTTAGTGAGGATAAAATATTCACAGTAAAATCTCACATTAGCATGCTGAGGAAGAGGGAGGCAGCTCCAACTGGGGGGTCTTCAGGAGAAGCAACATATGCAGTTTTTGCTCAACACATTCCCCAGTGTTTGGGTTTTCAGATGCAGTACACTTCGGGACAGGACAAGCCTTTAACGGAAGGGGCAGCTGAAACAGGGGCTGATCTGGAGGGCTGGGCTGGGGAGCCCTCTCCTCAAGTGCTGGTACCCTGAGTACACACCCCTGCGATTTGTTCCTACAGAAGGGAGCGCGGCCACTGGCTGCCAGGGAGCAGCCGTGTGATGACGCTAGTTCTCCGAGAGTTCCCAGCGCCTTGACGGCAGCTGTCACAGTAGGATGGAAGGAGACTGTGGGTGGGCACGCTGAGGGGCTCCTCCACAATGGAGGAGTGGGAGGAAGAGGGGGAAGTAAACCAGCAGGAGCCCTGGGGTGCCTGTGGGAACAAATGACTGCGTCAGGTAAGGATGGGGCAGGTGCTCCCACCACATGCCAGGCGGGTAGCCAGAGCCCAGTACAATCTCAATTGGGAAGGGGGGCAATGGTTGTCACAATCCTAGACCTTCTACCACGCATATGGACAGCGAGAGAGGAACCGGGGAGCAGGGAGGAAAGCCAGCCTCAACGTGTTTCCTGAGACAATCACAACTGTTTTCTCAGAAACGGAGCCCCAACACTGCTCCCAGTCGCTCCAGTTCTTGCAGGCTTGTCCAGGACAGAAATGAAGCAGCCCTCGGGTTCCCCTTGGCTCTCTCCTCCTTAGGGAGCTGTCACTCCACACAGTGCTTCTTCCACATATAATGCCTTGGCTGGCCTCTCTAATTTCAGACAGCACCTAGCCTGCTAGAGCGGGGGTCTCTCTATTCGCTGCGCGCTAGTCTGGGCAAAGGCACGCAGGTCGTGGTCTGGGGGGGGGGGGGGGCCTGGGCTGCAGGCGCTGATCTCTCCAACCCCCTCCCACGTCACAGACACCCGCCAGAGTGTTCGCGCGCTCGGGTGCACCCCGCAACACCTCTTTCCAGGCTCAGGTCGGCATCAAGCAATGCGATTCTTCTCTCCTGCCCCTTGTTCCAATTCTCCTCCTCCTCCCTCTCGGCTCCCAACAGGAGGCCAATTTGGAAATCAGACATAGTGAGGAAGGGGCTGGTTCATCGCTGAGCACAATCGGGCAGCCCGGGGGACAAGTGAAGACCCCAGAGACTGTGACCCCCGGGGCCTCGAGGGGTTGTCTGCAGACCCTTCCTGCTGGGCGTCTTTAGGGAACGGGGACACCCAGACCCCTGTCCAGGCTCCCCTCTCCAGGCGCTTCCCGGCCCCAGCACTGCCGCGGGCAACTCCGACCACCGCTGGCCCCTGCACTCACGAGAGCATCCCTCAGTTTCTCCCGCACACAGTGCGTGCGCCCCTGGCGCTCTGGGGCTCCGCGTCTCTGCCTTGCCGGTCTGACGCCCGGTCCCAAGGGTTCCTAGACAGGCAACGCTCCCCCAGGTCGCGGACACAGACCTCGCCGAGTCGTAAGCAAAAGCAAAGAGCTCATGAAAACGTGCACCTACCTAAAGACGAGGGCTCCGGGTCATGACAGGGGACACGCAGGGCTCCGGCGTGCAGACGCCTGGGTGCCTCGCGACGCCGGGCTGCGCGCACCTCCGCCTCTGCGGACAGTCCGAGCTCGCCCGCCGGGTGGCGAGGGCCGCGGGAGACGTCGGGTCCCGCGAGGCTTGTCCCGGCTCGGCTCTCCCGCGTCCGCGCGCAGCTGCCAGCGAGGCCGCGGGACTGGAGCGCGCAGCGCGCACGGCGGAGGGCGTGAGCCGGCAGTCCGGAGGCGGGCGCGCGGCGTCAGCGTGCGGGCTCTGGGTGGGAGGAGGAGGCCGAGACAGCTGCTTGACAGCCGCTCGGGCCCGACTGCGCGAGCTGCAGCGCCTGGGCGCCGCCTGCAGCCGGTCACGCGCACGCGGGCTCCTCCGCGCCCGCCGGGACCGCGGTTTGGAGCGATCCCTGCCTGGCCTCTGCGCTGCGGGCAAGCGCGGTGGACAGAGCGCACGAGAGGGAGAGCCGGGGAGCAAACCTGGCCGGGACCGGCCTTGGGGGCCAGCCTTTAGGGACGGGCTCCGCAGGAGGCCGCGCGTGGGGAACAATGCGGCGGTGGGGCGGGGCGGGGGGCGCGGGGAATTGGATTGCTCCTGGCTAGGGTTGCGCACGGAGGCCCCGTTGGGAGCGCCGCTGAGTGCGGGCCCTCTCCTGGGACTTGAAGGGACGACGGACATAAGGATGGGCAGAAGTAGGGCTGTTTTTGTTTTGTTTTGATAGATTTGAATTGTTATGCATAATCCAAAAGCATGGGTTTCCCTGACAAAAGCACTCCCTAAAAAGCGCCTTCTGCAGTGGAGACTATGGGACTGGGAGTCTACAGGGACCCCAGCACCGGTTGGGACTCCGCCTCCCACCCTTCGGTAGGCGGTCCGGGCCATGCCTGTTTGTTCATGGGTACAGCCACCGTATGGGATGCATTGTGAATTTAGAATACGTTCGGTAGCACAGCACTGCAAGGTGCAAGCTGGGAGTCAGTCATTTCTGTTGGGGGATTATTAAGAATCAGCGCTGTTAGACACCCTCTCTAGGCGAGAGGCTGGGTCCTCAGGCCTGCGCAAGGCAGCCAAAAACCACAGCCCTATTCTCAGAGGAGTGCAACGGAAGGGGCGGGGGCCGCTTGATGCCTGCAAAGAACAACCAGGACCGCGCATTGGTCAGGATGCCTCTGCCTGAGACCATGACCGCGGCCTGGGCAGCGCCTGACCGGCCTCATGCATTACCACAGCGGGTTTTCCCAACGACCACTTGCCCTTCTCCCAGCCTACAAAATCATTGCTTCTGACCGCCAGGGCAGCTCAGTCTTCCCATGGACACCTGCCTTGCAAACCGTTGACCACATGAATGAATGCCCCAGTCTGCCTGGAAAGCTGTGCCTCTTATGTTTCCCAGATGGGTTTTCTGGCCACTACGCGAGCCTATTGAGCCAGCCCCTTCCACTGCTCCACACCACAGCTCACTGGCTCCGTGTTCCTGGCTCCAGAGCAGATCCTTCAGAAGCGTCCTGTCACTTCTTCATTACTATACTCCTGCACCAGGCGCTACTGTTCCCATTTTCTACATGGAGAAATCAAACCAAGGTTCAAAATACCTAATGTGACTGGGCCAAGATGACACGGTTTAATCAACTTCACACACCTAAAAGGCAAAGGCAGAGACCGGGCACATGCAAAACCTGGGCTGTGGAGTCACTCTCCCTGTCCGGCCTCCCCACCCACAGAAACCCTGAGATAATAAACGAGTGTTCTTCTAAATGGCTACATTTGTGACCAATTGTACTTTATCCATCTGCACTACAGAAAGAAAAATCTTTAAAAAATATGAACTATATTGTGATCCCCTCCTGCTGAAAACTCTGCCTTGGTTTCCCGTTTGGAGTCCAGAAAAAGCTCTGAACTCCACAGTAAGGCTTATGAGCCCCTCGCATCCTTCCTGTCCCCCCCCCCAGCCCCCCGCCACCAACTCGGGCCACCAGCACCTCCTGTCAGCTCCTTGGCTATGCTGAGCGCTTCTCAGAGATCTTCCCTGACCACCCTGGTCTTTCAGTACACCCCCCCCCCCTTACTCTCCCCTCCAGTCTCTGGGGTCTTTTCTAGTGGCTGTTGTAACTGTAAGGGCTTTGTTTGCCTCTTGTCAGCTCGCCTGGTCCAAAGCCTAGAGAAGTGAAGTGATTTGTCCAAAGTTGTTTTTTTTTTTTTTTTTTTTGACAGATAGTGAGAGAGAGAGACAGAGAGAAAGGTCTTCCTTTTCTGTTGGTTCACCCCCCCAAATGGCCGCTACAGTTGGCGCTGTGCCCATCCGAAGTCAGGAGCCAGGTGCCTCTTCCTGGTCTCCCATGGGGTGCAGGGCCCATGCACTTGGGCCATCCTCCACTGCTCTCCTGGGCCACAGTAGAGAGCTGGCCTGGAAGAGGGGCAACCGGGACTAGAACCTGGTGCCCATATGGGATGCCGGTGCCGCAGGTGGAGGATTAACCAAGTGAGCCATGGTCCTAAGGTCTTCACATGCCTCTTAAGTCACTGCTCCCGTGTGTCCCCTACCTTGTGCTCCTGGCGGTTCGTGTCTCTGTCTCTGCTCTCTTACAATGCCATTCACTTCCTTCTAGGTTCTCCTGGCCCCCAAGCAGGAGTCTAAGCTCCTAGAAATGTCACTGAGCAGAGCATTTAGATGCTTTGGCCGGGTCCTCTAACCTCTTCCAGGAAAAGGGTGAGGCCCACAGCTTGTCAGGCATGAGAGTCTGAGATATTAGAGGACAGCCTGATGTGACAGACTTGCATTGCTTTCATGCCATTGCAAAGGAACTATTCCTTCCAAAGAAGATATAGTGTAACAAATCGGGATCTCCCCTTTATTAATCTTAATTGAAAACACCCCTAGTACAAATGGTAGGTATTATTTCAATAGGCAATTGGGTGCCTTTCAGGTGCCAGGCATTCTGCTGTGGGCAGGAGCCGCAGGGGAGGGCCTGGCGGCTGGGAGCCACCCTCGGCCATCCATGAAGTCTGGCAGGGAGGACAGCTGGAAGTAAGCGAGGTGTTGGGGCCGGTGCTGTGGCACAGCAGGTTATAAAGCCCTGGCCTGGGCCGGCACTGCGGCTCACTAGGCTAATCCTCTGCCTGTGGCGCCAGCACACTGGGTTCTAGTTCCGACCGGGGTGCCGGATTCTGTCCCGGTTGCTCCTCTTCCAGGCCAGCTCTCTGCTGTGGCCCGGGAGTACAGTGGAGGATGGCCCAAGTGCTTGGGCCCTGCACCCCATGGGAGACCAGGAGAAGCACCTGGCTCCTGGCTTCGGATCAGCGCGGTGCGCCGGCCGCAGCGGCCATTGGAGGGTGAACCAACGGCAGAAAGGAAGACCTTTCTCTCTGTCTCTCTCTCTCACTTTCCACTCTGCCTGTCAAAAAAAAAAAAAAAGCCCTGGCCTGAGGTGCTGGCATCCCAGATGGGTGCCGGTTCTAGTCCCGGCTGCTCCTCTTCCAATCCAGCTCTCTGCTATGGCCTGGGAAAGCCGTAGAAGATGGCCCAAGTCATTGAGCCCTTGCACCCATGTGGGAGACTGGAAGAAGCTCCTGGCTTCAGACCAGCTCCACTGTGGTCGTTGGAGCCATTTGGGGAATGAACCAGCAGATGGAAGACCTCTCTGTCTCTACCTCTCTTGGTAATGCTTTCAAATAAATAAAAATAAATCTTTTTTTTTTAAAGTATGTCTCCTGAAAGAGAAAGGGCTGGGGTAACAGGCATTTCTGGTACCAGAAAACAAGGTGTTTGAACTTCACTAGCTCTGAAAATGGTCTTTGAATAACTGATCCGTAACCTGTTCTCCTCTAGTGGGTGTTCGCTAAACCAGTTATTGGTTGATTGTCAACCTGATTGTTCTTTCTGCCATCAGGGAATGCCAGTAAATGCTCCATTCATCAGATGGAAGCCGGAGAGCATCCAGGTGAAACCAATTTGATTTCCTGATCTAGAGCTTCAGGGCTGTATACAGACCTCAGAACAGACCTGAAGACCCACAGCCACCAGGAAGTGGATGCGGGAATTGAAAGGTCTCTAGAGATTCGGCTGTAGCTCCTGACTCTTATTCATTTATATTTCTGTTTATACCTCGTGCCTGTGATGCTGGTGAATTCTGACTTCTGGAGGGAGGCAACCACACACATTTGAGATCTAATTGCCCTTTGGAACTATGGTGTTTAATATCCATGTGGACAGAACTAACACGCTGACATTTCAGTCCCTACTGTATGCTGAGACCTTCCTCTCTGGGCACATGGCCACCCAAATGCATGGCCAAATGAGACCCAGGAATGCTGCTGGTAGTCCTGGATTCTTGAACTCCTTTCTCTACCATGTTCATGACTACTGACTTCTTCATTTGCTGCTCTGACAAATCCTTGTCTCTATTTTAGCTTTTTAAGTTATGAAGTGTACAAGAGTCACCCTGGAAGGAGTTGAATGGAAGTTATGGAGCAGGCATGGAGCGGTTAAGATGCCTGCAAGCTCTATTGGATTGCCTGGGCTTGATTCCTGGATACAGCTCCTGACTCCAGCTCCCTGCTAATACACTGGGGAACAGTGGTGATGGCTGAAGTGACTGGGTTCCTGCCAGCCATGCAGGAGACTTAGCTGGAGTCCCTGGCTCTGGCCTCGCCCCCGTTGTTGCATGCATTTGAGGGAGTGAACCAGTGAACGGGTATTCTCTTTGTCTTTGTCTCTCCACCTCTTAACCCAAAACATAAAAGTAAAAATAAGGGAGGTGTTCAGTACCCACTCCCCCCCATATTGCTTTAATAGGCACACGGATGGTTGTGGCACACTCATCTTGGAAGGCACTTCTGGAAATGCTGGTCTGAATAAAGCCCTCTCCCCCCGGCACCCTGCACTGCAGTGTGGTTGAGAAGTTTGTCAGGTTGCATCCTCACCCTCCTAAGCTCCTAAGCGCTGCTCCTCCTGCCACATATCCAGGGAACAGTCCTGGAGAGGGTCCTGGATTGAGTTCAGACACGTGATTCTATTTCAGTGTTGCTATGGGGAACACAGGGCAAAATCCCACCTTTGTCAGCTCTGCATTTTCATCTGTCAATGGAGGGCTCAGAAAACCTGCCTGGCACACTTCCTTTTGGCTGTCATGTGACAATTGCTGCTTGCACCTTTCTTTTCCTTCTGTTAAAAAGATTTATTTAGGGGCTGGCACTGTGGTGCAGTAGGTTAAGTCACTGCCTACAGTGCTGTCATCCCATATGGGCACCAGTTCAAGTCTCGGCTGCTCCACTTCCGATCCAGCTCTCTGCTATGGCCTCAGAAAACAGTAGAG